GTATATAATAGGTGCTTGATAAATGTGTGTCAAATGAATGAACAAGCCAATAAAGCCACCTCAAAACACAGGTGGAAGGCCCCCTAACCTGTGCAGTGCCCTGGGGGGCTGTCACGTGCCAAGGCCCTGAGGTGCACGGGCTCATCCGCTGGCTGGCCCATCCGAGCATTTGCCAACTCTGAGACCTTTGTGCTCTTACCCCTTCTTGACGGGCGAGAGGCTTGGGGGATTGCACAGCCTGGCAACGTCACTCCGTAAGTGGCAGGAACGGCTCTCAAGCCCATACTCATCTGGCATCAAAGCCTTGCTCTATGAAGCCACAGAATCAGGGAAATAGTTGGTGTGAGCCCAAAGCAGGACAATTTGTCGCAAACGTAACTTGCCTGGAGGAGCGCGGCTGAGCTCAGCCTAGAGGAGGAGCATCTTCGAAGCATCAGAAGTTAGGGTGGAGCCGGTCCAGCACAGCGCCAGACAGCACCGAGGCCCAGGCGGGGAGGGCCTCGCCAGGCTGCGGGGCAGGTCACAGGCGGAGCCTGGCGGAGCCCTTTCTCTCGGCCCCGGCCTGCTGCGCTCGTCATCGCCCTCCGCCTCCGCAGGAGCAGGGGCTCTGCGCACGTCCGAGGAAGGGCGGCCCCTCAGGTCTCAGCTTGGCGAGGCTCCGTGCCATCGACGGTGGCCCATTTGATGGGGCCACAGTTTGGTTCTAACCCGCCAGTCGGCCACATTCTTAGCTTTCTGCTCCTATGGTAACGGTTTTTCGGATCAAGAGCGGCAGTTACTTTTACAGTCCCTGATACTTAGCATATGGGAGGGCGCCCCAAAGCTGGGAGGGCACCTGGACACGTGGTTCTTACATTAGAGATGACGACACTAGAAGTTTAAGGTCAGATGACCTTGTCCAAGCCACACATGAGAGGCCTCTTTCCCTCGTTTTCATAAGTGTTAGTGACCTCACCTTCTACCTTATAGATCTCCAGGAAAACAATGAGGCAGCTGACAGAGCAGGCATGTGTGTATTTGTATGTGTGTGTATATATGGTATGTATGCATGTTTACGCAGATATGTGTATATCTGTGTATGTGTGTATATAGTATGTATGTATGTATGCAGATGTGTGCATATCTGTGTGTATATAGTATGTATATGTGTATGCAGATATGTGTATATCTCTGTATATATAGCATGTATATGTGTATGCAGATATGTGTATATCTGTGTATGTGGGTATGTGTGTATATGGTATATATGCGTGTGTATGCAGATATGTGTATATCTGTGTGTGTATATGGTATGTATGCGTGTGTATGCAGATATGTGTATATCTGCGTGTGTGTATATGGTATGTATGCGTGTGTATGCAGATATGTGTATATCTGTGTGTGTGTATATGGTATGTATGCGTGTGTATGCAGATATGTGTATATCTGTGTGTGTGTATATGGCATGTATGCGTGTGTATGCAGATATGTGTATATCTGTGTGTGTGTATATGGTATGTATGCGTGTGTATGCAGATATGTGTATATCTGTGTGTGTATATGGCATGTATGCGTGTGTATGCAGATATGTGTATATCTGTGTGTGTATATGGTATGTATGCGTGTGTATGCAGATATGTGTATATCTGTGTGTGTATATGGTATGTATGCGTGTGTATGCAGATATGTGTATATCTGTGTGTGTGTATATGGTATGTATGCGTGTGTATGCAGATATGTGTATATCTGTGTGTGTGTATATGGTATGTATGCGTGTGTATGCAGATATGTGTATATCTGTGTGGTGTGTATATGGTATGTATGCGTGTGTATGCAGATATGTGTATATCTGTGTGTATATGGTATGTATGCGTGTGTATGCAGATATGTGTATATCTGTGTGTATATGGTATGTATGCGTGTGTATGCAGATATGTGTATATCTGTGTGTGTGTATATGGTATGTATGCGTGTGTATGCAGATATGTGTATATCTGTGTGTGTATGCGTCTGCATGTTATAGATTAAACTCAGAGTCCTGAAAAAGAAGGAAGAATCTCTGTCAGGTTAACACAGCTACCGAGAGCAGCACGCTGTGGAGGTTAAGACCTTAGATTGCCTGAGCCAGATTGCTCGGTGCCTGTCTCTGCATTTCCTTTTCTCGCTATGTGTATTTGTAGCTTGGCTCCCACACCCAACGGCAAGGTGCAGACAGAGGCGCAGGTGCTGGGCGTGGGAGACTCATTGTGCAGGAGAGGTGGGCGGCTCCCAGCACCTGCCACAGCGATGCTGGGAGCACACATGGCAATTCTGAGCAGCAGGCTCTGTCTTCATTCCCTGTGGGGAGAGAAATGAGGTTAGACCAGGGCACAGGGGAAATCTGGGGTTTTTATCACCATAAACCCGTCTCCAAGCCCCAGGCCTCGCACCTTCTGGGCTCTCAGAAATATTGGTCTCCCCATCCCCCACCCCCAATGACCTTGTGGGCAGGAACCTCATCTCCTTGCAAATACTCAAGGCACTCCTTGGCCTGCTCCTCCCATGCCTTCCAGCCAGGGGGAAATCAGGGAAGGCTTCCTGGAGGAGATGGTGTCTGAGCTAAGGCTGGAAGAACAACGAGGGTAGCCAGGTACAGAAAGGTCAAGAGAACATTCCAGATTGAGGAAAGAGCCAAATGTGCTGATTGATGTCTTTTGTTTTTCCTGAGTGCCAGGATATAGGAGGGGACTTTCTGTCTCTCAGCTCCCTGGAGCCTGGAGCGCTCCTCACCTCCTTGGACAGGCTGAAATGCCCCCTGCCTGGCGGCCCTCAGCACTCCAGCTCAGTGGTGCCTGTTTGCTAGTTTCAAAAGGATATTTGTGAGCCCATGGCCAGAGAAGGTCCATGTAGGCTAGGAAGGACGCCAAACAGAGCCATTGTTAGGAGTCAGCACAGACATAGCAGGAGTCGTGGGGACAGACTTATTTGGCAGTTAGGGACGCAGAAGGGCAGCTCACTGGACAGGCTCCTGCAGGGCTGACCTGTGCTGAGGAAGGAGGAGACAGAGGGCTGAAGGGGTGGGAGCCCCTGTCGAGAGCCCCTACTCTCTGTTCCAGGTGGAGTTTCCAGGAATCAGATCTGAGAATGAGTTGGCATGCAGATGTTTTGCTAGGGAGTGACACATGGAAAGTGACAAGGACCACAGTTCTGGGCAGGAGTTGCTGTTGGGCCACAGTGTCCCTGGCTAAGTCTCCGCAAGCCCAGTGAGGAGCTCTGGAGCAATGCCTGTGCATTGCTGAGTCCCCCGTTGGGCAGAAATGGGCCCTGTCCCACCGCCTCGCTCAGGCATGGGCTGGGGGCCGCTCTGGGAACAGCGTCACCTGGCCTTCAGCGCTGAGGTGGACTCTCACAAAGCTAAGAGCCACAGGCTGTCAGCTAACCGCTCCTTGTAGCTGACAGCAAGTCCTTTCTAAATGGGATCTGGGTGGCACGTCTCCATGTCTGCCATGCTAGTCATAAAAGATACTCTTCCTCACCCAGTCACAAGAACCTTATACGAAGGGATGTCAGATGAGTAGAAATTATTTTTACGAATATATATACAGTGGGAAAGATAAAGTGGTGCTTTAAAAGACAATCATGAATTTTAAAAGGAAGAAGAGGCACTTTTGTTCCAAGAAATTCTGCTAAAAACTGAGCATTGCATTTGACTAAGAGCTTCCTGGCAGCCAAGTTGAAAAGGGAAAAAAACAGATAATAAAGTTATTCTTTATAATGGAAAATATGTTTGTCAGGGAGAAGAGAAATATTTTCCTGGCCCAAATGTCTGGAATTATTTTATCACATGGATGTTGCATTTTTAAGGAGATATTAGAAATATTGTGGAGTTTAGTGCATGATACAGAAACATTACTCACTCAGCTACTTTTCTCACTTACCTTCAATAAGTGCTGGGAAAAGCATTAAATCATAGCTCACAAAAGAGACATTTCAAAGTAGTTTTCAGTACCCTTCTGGAAATAACTCTCCAAAGCCTTCGTGTGCTTGCTTCTTAGAGAACCTGGAGCAGGTTTAATAGCTTTCCCTGCGTCAGTGGAGCATGCTGGCACGCCCTGTGTACAGAGCAGTGTTTCTAAGGACGCTGCCTGCCGTGTCTGGAGTGGGCTGTCCGCAGGAGCCTCCCAACACCCACCCTCCCAGCGGAGGGAAGAATATCAACGTGCGAATATTTAGTCTGTGTTCTGAGAGCATACCCCAGGATCTGATCATTACCATCTCAGGGGTCTAACCAGTCAGCCCACCTTTGAGCATACGTCAGTGGAGGATCACACAATTAAGGTGTTGGTAAAAAATGACAGGTTCTCTGCAGCTGAAAATTTACAGCACTTAACATGGAAAGGGTGAGTTTGAATCCTGGGAAGATTCATTCTTTGGGACTATTTCCCCTCTAGGTTTCTGTATTGCAGCGGGCCATGTGGAGAGAGCCTGACAGCCTTACAGGTCATTGAGTTCAACCCTCCTTTGGATGATAGAGTCGCCCCAGGGGCTTCCTGGCCCAGACGGCCCGCCCGCCCTGCAGACACCTGCGACCAGGGCGGCTCGCAGGCCACGCAGAAAGCAGGTGCTCGGCGAGTGCTCGGCGAGAGCGCGGCCCGTGTGGGCAGCTCGGAGCCGGGGTTTAATGTATATGACACCATGCAGTTACTGCAACAGCCGTGGGAGGCAGGAATGATGACAAAAGATGGACAGGGCACAATCGCCCAGTGGTAGAGACAGATTTGAACCCTGGGCATGATCTGCTTTGCTGTGGGGCAATCAGGAGACCGGGGCTCTCTCCTGGCTTTTCTTCCAGCTCACCGGGTGGCTTGGGCAAGTCACTGCACCTCTCTGGGCCTCTGTGTTCCCATTTTTGAACAAGGCCTTTGGACTCCACCCCTAACAAGTGTGTGTCTAGGTGGTGGGCCCCGGCCCTCCGGGCTCAGAGTTGGACATGGCGAACACTCTAATCCCTGCTGAAAGTCCACACTTGTCCCTGTTTACAGCCTTCCAGACGTTCCTGGGCAAAGCCGATGTCTCCCGGGAGGTGGAAGAGGTCCTGGCTGAGAGCTGTGTGCAGAGGAACATCCGCCTGGTGTCCGTCCTCGAGCTGCTGAGGGCCCCACTCGTCCGCTGGCAGGTCATCACCGTGATCATCAACATGGCCTGCTACCAGCTCTGCGGCCTCAACGCGGTGAGTGCCGGCCCAGCCAGGCGTCCCTGCACAAACGGAGGAACCGGAGGGGGCAGGGCAGTGCAGGGTTTGGGTCCTGGACACGCAGGTTCAGGTCCCAGCTCGGTCATCTCCACAAACTCTCTGCCATTGGGAAGCCACGTAGCTGTCTGGTCCTCAGTTTCCTCATCTGTGAAATGGGATAATATAACATGAAAGGGATCATCCTTGCAAAGTGTTCAGCCACTGGCACAGAGATATCCCTGAATAAATGCTGCTTATCATATAATTATTTATTTCTAGAAATACTTTGAAGTCATATTTCTTTTAAAAATTGGGTATTAGGAAGTCATGATTTAGATAAAAGTACTTTTGGCTGGGCTATCTTCAACTCACAACTTGGGCTTGAGAAAACCTCAGGCCTGGGCTGACGTGTGGCAAGGGGGCCTGAGGGGACTGCTCCATGAGGTGCCCCAGTCCCTCTGACGGATGTTGAGGGCTCCAGGAATTCCTGATGTGAGACATTGGGAGGCAAACTCTAAATCATTATCCAGAGTGTTGTTACTTCTGAAAAGTTGAGTGGGTTTCCACCAGGGGTGGTGAGTTCCCATCCATGGAGGTGTGCAAACCGGCTCCCCAACCACTTGGCAGGGGAATGGAGGGGAAGTTCTTGCACCGAAGCATCCAAACCGTCTCTGAGGTCCTCATGTAGCTCAGGGGGATGTGGCTGAGCCCAGAGGGAGGGAGAAGGGGTGACTGCCAGGGCCCTTGCAAAGAGCCCCCGAGAGCAGACTGCATGCAGACCGAGTGAGCCTGGGCCCCAGCGTGGGCAGGGTGCTGGAGCTGTCTAGGGGAGGTGACGTGAAAGGCAGTGGTTCCTGTCCAGAGAGGGGGAACGGCAGCATCGGAAGTTGCAACCACAGTTTCTGCCTCACTTCAACAACTCTCGATTCTGTTCTCAGAAACGCTGAGATGAAAGGAGAGCATCCTGCTACTTACTTACTTGTTTTTACCTTTTTCCTCAGTCTGGTTAGAGCCAGCGTATGAGAAGGTGCCTGGCTCAACACCTCTACTGAAACAGAGTGACCTTGGGCGAGTCCTGCTGTTTCCCCCTCTTGACAAGACCAAGATCATAGTAGATGGTCTCAGTCTGCCCCCCTGTTCTGAGAGAGTAGAGAGGGAGAATGCATCATTTCTTAAAGCCAACACTTGGAGTCTTAAAGACGGAATATGCAATCCGTATTTAATGAGGATTTAATATGCAATCCGTATTTAATGAGGATTTAATATGCAATCCGTATTTAATGCAATCCGTATTTAATTTGGATTGAGAACTGCGACATTTCTAAACAGAACTCTCTCTTCCACTGAGACATAATTTTCCATTTGCATATCCTATATAACTCTGTCAGTCCTGCTAGGGTATATCTGCAGGCTCCACTGCACAGCGTATGATACGGAAGAAATATGTCATCTTCTCCCAAAGCCAGCAGTAGTGAGGTCTCAGTCTCCAAGGATTCTGCTCTCCTCATGTTGATGATTTTCAGCCTTTAAGTCAGGAATATACTTCCAGCTAGGCATGCTTTACTGGACACAGAGCAGAGGTCTGCACCAAGAGTCGGAGGCCTTTCTTCCCATCTCAGTGGGTCCTCAAACCTGCAGTAACCTGGACCAACCACTTCCCCATATGGCCTAATCCACTCAGCCGTGGTAATATTAATAAAGTACACATGTATTAATATTTAGCACTCAGTGTGGGCCAGGAGCTGTCCTCGTGGCTGCCCTGTGAGTTAGGACCCACTATTAGGCTCAGAGACGTTGAGACACTTTTCCAAGGTCACACAGCAGGGAATAGAAGAAAAGGGATTTGAACCCCAGCAGTCTGGCCCAAGGTATCCCTCAGAACATCCCCACGCATGTCACTCAGGCTGTGTCCCTGGGTCAGCCCTTGGCAGCTTGGCATACCTTGGCAGCCTTGACAGACCAAGACAAGTCTTACTTCTTCTGTTTTACATACAAAGGGACCCACACTGGCTAGTGGCAAATGCCAGCGGCACAGCCCGACTGTCCGGTGCTGGGGCCCAGGCTCTCCCTGACACCTGCTGCCTTGCAGTCCAAATCCGAGAGACCAAGGAAGAGAGCCACCATCAGTCCCAAACTTTATCTTAGCTTGGCCAGATGGCATTTGGGAGACACGGCCTGTCATCCGAAACACTCGCCAAGGCTGCCCGGGGCCTCCAAGTTCATCGCCTCACTCCGGCCCCCAGCAGGCCTGCGGGAGGCGGCGCCGCCCCGCTTTACAGACGCAGAGACTGGCTCCAGGTCCCGGGGTGCCCTTGCGCTGGAACACGCACACCTCCCGCCCCGCGCCCTGGACAGCGCCCGGCCGCCGGTGCACTGCGGGCTTCAGCCACAGCCCGCCTCGCCCGCACGCGCGAGCGAGCGCCCGCCGCCCGCCGCCCGCCGTTCCCGCCCGCCCGCGCCGCCGCCCGCCGGCAACTGGTGCGGCTGGTGGCGCTGGCCGGCCCGCATTCTGCATATGACTGCCGGCGAGAGCCCTGCTGTGACTGAGCAGCCGCCCGCGCGTCGGGGCCCCGGAGCGCTGGCCCCGCTGGGCGCCGGAGCACTGACCTCGCTCGGCGCACTGACCTGGCTCGGAGCACTGACCTCGCTCGGCGCACTGACCTGGCTCGGAGCACTGACCTGGCTCGGCGCACTGACCTGGCTCGGAGCACTGACCTCGCTCGGCGCACTGACCTCCCTCGGCGCACTGACCTCGCTCGGCGCACTGACCTGGCTCGGCGCACTGACCTCGCTCGGCGCACTGACCTCCCTCGGCGCACTGACCTCGCTCGGCGCACTGACCTCCCTCGGCGCACTGACCTCGCTCGGCGCACTGACCTCGCTCGGCGCACTGACCTTGCTCGGCGCACTGACCTCGCTCGGCGCTGGAGCACTGACCTCGCCCAGCTCTCGGAGCACTGGCCTCGCCCGGCTCTCGGAGAACTGACCTCGCCCGGCTCTCGCAGCACTGGCCTCGCCCGGCTCTCGCAGCACTGACCTCGCTCGGAGCACTGACCTCCCTCGGCGCACTGACCTCGCTCGGCGCACTGACCTCGCTCGGCGCTGGAGCACTGACCTCGCCCGGCTCTCGGAGCACTGGCCTCGCCCGGCTCTCGGAGCACTGGCCTCGCCCGGCTCTCGGAGCACTGGCCTCGCCCGGCTCTCGGAGCACTGGCCTCGCCCGGCTCTCGCAGCACTGGCCTCGCTCGGCGCCGGAGCACTGACCCCCTCGCTCGGCGCCGGAGCACTGACACGGAGAGCGGCAAGCGATTCTCACGCACTCTAGAAACCAGCGAAAGTCAGATTTACATTTTTCATTTATTTCTAAATTCCTTTTCAGTGTTGGATTGTTTTTTTTCCTCCTGCCTCTCACAACAGCTTTCAAATTCCCATCTCTAGAATTAGACCGGTCACCTAAAATGACTTATTTCAGGCACTGCCTTCCTCCCGAGCAGTTTGTCCTCTGCACAAAGCCAGGCTTCGGTGCGAGTGAGTCTCCTGCCACAGCGAAGGAGCCTCTTCCTTCAGGGCCCGCCACCTTGTCCCTTCGCTTGTCCCCCGCGGCGCCCCGCCCTGGCGAGTTACGATGTGTCCCCATCCTTGGGGACGTCCCTTCGCCCAGCAGCCAGAGCCTCCCATGGCGCGAGGCAGGTGCCGGAACATTTGGGGAGTAAAGGAGTAGAAAGTGGGAGCAGGAGACAGGGAGTCTTTGGGCTGAACATTTAACCACTGTCGAATCCTGTACAGGGAAGCTTTAGTTTTCTTGAACCTTCCTGAATCTTCTGGAATGCCAAGGGCTATGGTGGCACTCTCATCTATCTTGAATCATATTGCCTTTCTCTGATTCCTTCCTTCTAGAACACAGAAAGCCAAGCATAGTGACTCCCTGGGCCTCAGTTTCCTGTGATGAGAAATGGGGATGAGAATGCTCAGTTTGCACGATGGCCGAGAGGATTATATGAAACCGTGTGGGAACAATGTCTCCCAGATGGCAACTGCCCAGCTCATGAACCTCCCCCAACTCGCTGTGCTCAGAGAGACTGTTCCGAGCATTGCTTTCTTGTCTCTCAATGCCACGCATTTCCAAAGTGTCCTGCTCCTGAGACGTGGTTTGGGTTGGGAAACAAGACACCAAGCTTGTTAGAAATGGATGTAAGATAAGAGCAGGGAGGCTCGGAGTGCGGGCCACGGGGGCGCACAGACCTAGCGACATTGTCTGGGTGCTCGGAGGCGCCAGGCTGCTGCCAGGCCCACCCGCTTGCAGGGTGCCAAGCGTCGCAGCGCTCCTGCTGCCTCCTCCCACCCTCACTCGCAGGCCGTGCCCTGCCGGACCCGCGCTGTGCCCACCAGAAGCCAGTGCCGGCACAGTCCCAGACGCCCCACCCCTCCATAAACAATTGAGTGGGAAGGAAGGGCAGGGCATGAGGAGAGGGGGCAGAGAGAGGGAGGGAGGAGACAAGAAAACCTTAGATACATTTGTAGCCAAACATGGCTCCCCCGCTTTCCCCGCCGGGAACCGCATGAAGCTCTGTCTCATTTGTCAAACCATGGCTGGGGACTCAGGACCTAAATCATGTTTTATACAAACCTTCAAATCAATTTCAGAAGCATTTATCAATAGCTTTTGTTTTGAAAAGATTCTTATGAAGTCACTTCCTAACTCCAATGAGAAGAATTCACAATGTTCTGCTACCCTGATAACGGGGACCATCTCTCGGAACAATGTGCTATGTCCTGGGAGTGGGGAGAAGGCTGAGCGGAGACCCCACCTGTGGCCGCCGCACCACCATGTGTTCAATCCTGGGCTCAACCTCCTGCATGCAGCCTGCAGCATCAGACTTTCAAGTTATGGGACTCTGACAAGTTGCCATAACTTCCCTGTGCCTCAGTTTCCCTGACTGTAAAGTAGCTGTGAAGATAGGTGAAGCTCAACACAGGCCGCCACCGAGGTGGTACTCCATGATCTTAGCTGTTACTTGTTGAAAGAGCCTTGCGCTGAGAACCCTGGGGTGACCCAGCTCCCAACCCACATCCTCCGCCTCCCAGCTGTGTGTCCCTGCGCGTGACACTTCACACCTCCTAACTTTGATCACGCAGATGTCAGAATCCGAAGGAGAGCAGACCAGACCAGAAAGTGATGGCCCAGGGCTGGGTCAGTGTGAGTTTATGTCTTACCTGTAAGATGAGGAGCGAGACTGGGGGTCCAGCACTCATAGAAAAGCTTTTAAAAGTGAGCATTTTCAGGCCATTTTAAATTCGAGTCCTTACTTTGTATCCTTGTGGATCTTCATGACAAAAGAGAGCGGAGGCAGAGAAGGGAGAGGTGTTGGGCATCTAGATGCAGGAGCCAACTTAATGCTCACATGCGCTTTGAGGGTGCAGAGTCAGACCAGGTGTTGGGCATCTAGATGCAGGAGCCAACTTAATGCTCACATGCGCTTTGAGGGTGCAGAGTCAGACCAGGTGTTGGGCATCTAGATGCAGGAGCCAACTTAATGCTCGCATGCGCTTTGAAGGTGCAGAGTCAGACCAGGTGTTTGGGAGCCGCGTCCAGGTTCTCACCTCATAGCAACTGCTGGGCGTCAAACCCCTTCTGCCCAGCCCGCTGCCTCTGCCTGTCCACAGGATGGCATTTCCAAGAAAGGTGCCTTAGACTTCCAGCCGCTGTGCCTGGGGATTCAGCCACACAGGGCTGCGCCTCACGCCTGGCCAGCCCTGGGGACAGACAGTGAGCCACCGGGGCTCCGCGCCGCCAAGTGTCAGGTGTGCGGCTGTGGCTGGGGCACAGCCGGGCCACGGAGCGAGGCGGGAGTGGCAGCTCCTTCCTGCGCCTCCACCACCAGGTCAAAGCAAGACCTGATGAGAAGGAGGGTGAGGCCCGCTGGGGGTTGGGATGAGGCCGCTCTGCCGAGACACAGTCTGGACCTGCGGGCGCCGTCGTGAAGCACAAAGCCCTCCCTCGGTGGAGAAGGTCCGGTCGACTCTGCCGCAGCCCGTGTTGGCCTCGCCTGCCAGGCCCTCTGTTCCTGTACGCCCGCCCTGCTGCGCCGCAGGACGGAGCCCCCCGCAGTCTTGCCCAGGGCAGCAGACGGCAACAGGAAGGTTTGGGGTGACCTGGGCTCGAACCCTGGCTCTGCCACTTGAGCAGTGCAGGGGTCCTGTTAGTGATGAGAAGGGGAAAAGGTGAAAGAAGGGCGAATATTGAGCGGCCACACCACATAGCTTTGCCTTGTGACTCTGGATTTAGCAGCAAGACTGAGACTACCTTGTACTTGAATTTAATTTAGAAAATAAATTAAGACCTTCCACTGACCTTTCTCCCTGTTTCTTTCCTGAATTGTAGATTTGGTTCTACACCAACAGCATCTTTGGGAAAGCTGGGATCCCCCCAGAAAAGATCCCATACATCACCTTGAGCACAGGGGCCACTGAGATTCTGGCTGCCATCTTCTCTGTAAGTGAACCGGTGACTCCTGAGGCCACCACAGGGGACTGGACAGCACGGGGGCCCCGGGCAGCGTGCAGGCATGGCTTTAAGGGAGCGTGCCCTTTGCCACCCGCAGGGGTCTGGCTCTTAGGAGTTCATTATGCAGCTCTCCACTGATGTTTTACCCATCTAGAGAAAATTCCTTTGTATATTTTGTTCCCTTTTAATAAATAGCTCCATCCTTGGAACTCGCACATAGTCACAAGGGGTTCAATATGAACACCCTGTGAAAGAAGGTCAGAGTATCCCTGGGAGTTCAGGTCAGAGAGTTTGTGTGAGTCTCAAATCTTTTGTTATGACTTTTTAAATGTTTCAAACCATTAGCTATCTTCTGATCACCCCAAACACATAGGCGTTTACAAGGCGAAGAAAAGAAAAAATGACATTCCAGTCAATTGATATAATAGAGTGACCTTAATAATAAGCAAAAACGTTCGCATAGTCTTATGTCAGAATGATTTTCCATTTTATTATTTACTGTTCAAGTATTGTTTAATTGGAGTGTACTATATACACAGAAAAGTATGCAGATCATCACCCCCTCCGAGTTGACACTATCGGTAAAAGCTGTTATCGTTCTCCAAAATTTTGCTGTATGGAAACTTCCCTACCCATTGCCTGCAGGGGTGGGGTGTTGAGCGTCGGTGCTCAGAATTTGGATGCCAGAGCCTGCCTGCCTGGTTTCTGGCTCCAGCTCTGTGCCTTTTTCAGGTGTGTGGTCCCAAGGAAGTTATTTGACATCTCTGTGACTCAGTTTCCCCATTTCCGAAGGATATTGTCCCTGCCTCATAGGGTTGGGCTGAGGATTAAACGAATATACATTAAGCAATTCAAGGAATATCTGGCAAATGATGTGCACTCAGTAAGTGTTAATCATTTTTGTCCAATTTAGGTAGGTTCTCAACATTTGTCATTTTAAATAAGGCTATGATGAACTTCCTTACAGAGATCAGAATTTCACAGGGACTCTTGCCATCTTTTGACAATTGAGGCAATTAAGACCCCAAAGAGGGACTGATCTAGGTCACACAGTCAGTTAAGTCAGACCTGACAGAATGGGGAGAGATGATGTCATGGCACCCCCTCTGTCCCCCAAGACCCTGAAGTGCCCCATGTGGGATCTCATGAATGCCCACATCACTCCTAAAGGCCCAGTTATTGCCCTCGCTTGAATGAGGAGCACATGGAGGGAGTGGGGACACTTCCACCCTCCGTCTCACTGACTCCAAAAGCCACTCCTTCTGGTCCCCACTCTCTGGCTGACAGATCATCTTCATTAAAAGCTGAATATGAGGGCTGCCCGGAAAGTATCCAGCCATTATTAACATAGAGCAGTTACGTGGCTGGATGCTTTCCAGACAGCCCTCGTGTATTTGGTGACATATTCCTTGGAAGCCCTAATCCAAGATAGGAGGGAAAACTACTTCACTCCCCTGCACGAGAATGAGGGGACCTTTCTAAAACCAGGACCTGGAGTCACTGCCTCCAGAGCGTGCTCCTGCCGCTGTCTGTAAGCACGGATCCTTTGGTCTCAGTCACCTGGGCAATGGCAGCTCCTCCCATGGGCAGGGTGTTGACCTGTGCCGGGCTTCCAGAGGGCCACTGCCACGGTGCCTGCCTGCAGGAGCTTACCATTTGCTTCAAAGTGGAACCATGTCTTGCTCATCGGAGAAGCAGGAACCTCAGGTGCAGGCCCTGAGCAAGGAGGGATGGCTTCATAGCTCTGGTGGTAGATTCATTCATGCTTGCATTCATCTATCCCACAAACACCGTAGGCACACCCATAGAGTGCCAGTGGTCACTGGTGAACTTGACATGAACTAGAGAGAAAGACAGACCTGGAAACAGACAATTACCACATGCAATACTGAGATAAGCTCTCCTCTGAGGGACTCCAGGAGGGCTTCCTGGAGGAGGGGACCAGGAAGCCAAGAGCTGAAGGACCAGCAGGAGTTAGGTGAAGGGAAGAGAAGTGCATTGGGTAGCCTGTTCCTCTTTTATCTTCCCAAAGAGCGAGATGCAAGAACAGATGCAGAATGGTCCATAGGAAACAGTCTTTAAAGCTGTAGCATTTACCCTAAATCCTGGAAAACTGTGAGATTAAATTCAGCATGATGAGCATGAGGCTGGGAGTGTGGGATGGATCCTGGGCAGAAAATCCTTTGGCTTTAGGACCAGGCAACTCTGAATTCAAATCCTGATCATCCACATACCAGCTGAGTGGTCTTGGGAACATTTCCCAATGCCTCTGAATTTATTTGCTAATCTGTAAAATGGACCCAACCATGCCCACTCATAGACAAAGCAATGGCTCACCAAGATGCCCACGTCCTACTTCCTGGAAGCCATGAACATGTAACCTACTTGGCAAAAAAGGGACTTTGCAGATGTGATTAGTCTGAGATGGAGAGATGGCCCTGGGGGACCCAGGTGGGCTTAATGTCACCACAGGTCCTGATAAGGGAAAGAGAAAAGGGGCTGTGACGACAGAAGCAGAGGCAGGACTGATGCCTGATGCCGTTGCCCGCCTTGCAGATGGGGAAGGGCCACAGGCCGAGGGAGGCAGGTGCCTCCGGCGGACGGCAGGGCGGCTCTCCTCTCAGCCTCCAGGGGGCGCAGCCCTGCCGGCACTGTCGCTCTCGCACCACGGAACCGGTTTTAGGCTTCTCCAAAAGTATAAGGTAGCACATCTGTGTTGTTTTACACTGAGTTTGTGCCGATCTGTCACAGCAGCAATGGAAAAGTGACGCAGGGCCTCAGAGACCTTCGCTGAGACAGCACTCAGGCTGTGTGAGGGCCACGCCCATTCCCGGCAGAGTCATGATCCCTAAACCCCTTGCCCTTTCCTAAGTTTTTATTTCCTTGTTTCCAAATATATATGCGCTTGTTCATCCAGCACTTTGAAGTAATTGCCTGTCGAGGAATTTCCAAATTTTTTTTCGTTCTTCTTATGAGATTTTGACAATCTATTAAAATGGCTCTGGGGCCCTAATAAAATTGAGACGGGAAAGACATTTTTTTTTGGTGAAACTTTGATATTTATTTATTTATTTTTTTTCCGGCATATTATGGGGTACAGATTTTAAGGTTTCAATAAATGCCCCTTCCCCCCTCCCCCGACAAGTCTGAGTTTCCAGCATGACCATCCCCCAGATGGTGCACATCTCACTCATTATGTATGTCTATACCCGCCCCCCTCCCCTCCCACCTGCCCAATACCCTATTACTGTAGTATCTATGTGTCCACTTAGGTGCTGGGGGGGGGGGGGGGGGGGGGGGGGGGGGGGGGGGGGGGGGGGGGGGGGGGAGGGGGGGGGGGGGGGGGGGGGGGGGGGGGGGGGTGGGGGGGGGGGGGGGGGGGGGGGGGACTCTCAGTTAATACCAGTTACTGGTATTTTATTGGTGCTTGTTTTCCATTCTTGGATACTTCACTATAGTATGGGCCAGCTCTAACCAGGAAAATTAAGATTGCTATATCCCGTTGTTTCTTAGAGCTGAATAGTACTCCATGGTGTACTTATACCACATTTTATAATTCATTCTTGGATTGAGGCATTGGGCTGTTTCCACAGCCTGGCAATTATGAATTGTGCTGCTATAAAACATTCGAGTGCAGGTGTCTTTTCTGTAGAGTGTCATTCAATGGGATTGCTGGATCAAATGGTAGAATCACTTGATCGCTTTAGGTATCGTCCATATTGCTTCCACAGAGGTTGAACTGTTGCAGTCCCACCCACAGTGTAGGAGTGTTCCTCTCTCTCCGCATCCACGCCAGCATTTGTTTATTGGAGACTTTTTGATAAAGGCCATTCTCACGGGATTAAGTGATGTCCATTGTGGTTTTGATTTGCATTTCCCTGATGATTAGAGATGTGAGCATTTTTTCATATGTTTGTTGGCCATTCTTCTGCTTTTCTTTAGAAAAGTTTCTGTTCAAGTCTTTGCCCACTTTTTAATAGGGTTTTGATATTTTCTTGCTAATTTTTGTGAGTTCTAAGTATATTCTAGTTATCAGCTCCTTATCGGATGCATAGAATGCAAAAATTTTCTACCATTCTGTAGGCTGTCTGTTTATCTTCATGACTGTGTCTTTGGCTGTGCAGAAGCGTTTTAGTTTCATCATGTCCCATTATATTTATTTGTTGTGCTGATGTGATTGCTTTGGGACTTCTTCAAAATCTTCTTGCCTAGCCGATGTCTCAGAGAGTGTTCCAATTTTTCCTCTAAATCTAATATTCATACCTTAGGCTAATCTGTATCCATCATAGTTGATTTTTGTGAGAGTGAAAAGGTTGGGTCTCTTAGCCTTCACAAGTACTATCCAGTTTTCCAGCACCATTATTGAGAAAGGGATTCTTTCCCCAGCGGTATTTTTTGTCTGCTTTGTCAAAAGATTAGATGGCTATATGAGGATGGTTTTAATCAGGATTCTCAATATCTGTTCCACCTGGTCAATATTCCTATTTATGTCCAATACGATTGCATTAATTACTACAGCTTTGTAGTATAGTTGAATCTGGATATTAATCACCTCTCATTGTTTTTGTTTGCCGTAGAATGGCTTTGATATTCGGGGTCTTCTTTGGCTCAACGACAGCTTAAAATTATTTTCTCATATCGTTGAGAAATGCTGTATGGGATTTTAATGTGTATTTCATTGAACTGTAGGATCAGTTTGGGTAGTATAGACATTTTAAGATGTTTAGTCTGCGGTCCACGAACATGAATCGGATTCTTTCCATCGTTTACAATCCTCTGCTATTCCTTCCCAGTGTTTTCATAGTTCTACAAATGTAGAGGTCTTTTACCACTTGTTAAGTATAGATTCCTAGGTCTTAATTCTGTGCTATTGTGAATGGGAATTGAGTCGTGATTGGTTCTCCAATTTTGTTGGCGGTATATGAATCCTGCTGATTTCTTAGTGTTTTGATTGTATCGCGAGCTTCTAAATTTAATATCAGTTCCAG